TCTTTACATTCCCATTAAAAATGACTTCATAATTTCTGTAAGATGGGTTTATCCTCTTGAATACAAGTATTGCCAAAGTTAAAAAAACGTTCAGAAAAATCTATCGAAATTATTTGTTTATTGAACGACAGTTCGATAACAATCCACACAAACCATAAAAAACCGTCTTAATCTTTTTATTCTCCTTGTCAGCAAGAGTGAGTCATGGGTTAATGACTTTGTTTTTCATAAAATGGGGAAATACAAAATTATATTTATTTACGCATTAAAAAAATAATACACAGTGTTATCAACTGATCGCCGTGAAAATACGCCAAATTTTTATTAAGGTACAGTCGTCTCTCGATAATTTCAAATTCGATATTTTGAATCATTTGAATCATTATACTTCGGTTGTTTGTGCAACACACTAATTTATTAATATAAAAATGGGGTGACCCAAATGAAGACAAAACTACGCAAATTCTAACGCATGGTACAATTATAAAAGGTAACAGCAAATCCCAGCTGATTTGATTCCAACGTAATACTAGTGTCAATATGAATTTGACAAATTATGTATTTAAAAATCACCCAACAGGAAAATTGGGAACGCAAACAATTTGAAATTGTTCTTTATTAATGTGCCCCCGTATTCAATTTACTCAATCTGCCTGCTGGGAAAGTTTCAGGAAGCAAATCTTTCTTGAAGGAATTACTCGCTATTCCCAGCATTGTCATATGTGTTACACATATATATGGCAATGGCTCAATTAAAGGAAAGATGTGGAAGCGATAGAAATATAAATTTGATAGATTTTCATTCATGTTTTTCAATTTTTATTTTGAGTATTCGAAAATATTCCATTTTCAAAATAAAAATAATTTAATGATAATTTGTTTGTTTGTTTACATTTTTCTGTCAAATGAGTTGACACTAGTGGAACTTACAATAACAAATTTCCATGTGGTTGTTGTATTGGTTTTTGTACAACAACACTTGCTGTTACCTTTTATTATTATACCATGATTCTAACGCTAAACAAAACAGGAATAATAGTTCGTTCCAGAACCTAAAAGAATCTACTAATTTTGCAAGGTTTGCAACTTTTTACTCGAAAATCGTCCCTGAACCCACAAAACTGGTAAAACGTTAAATCAAATTTAAGAGAGCACAAAAGAAAATGTCTTTCTCTATGAAAACTTTTTACTCGAGAAATTTTGCCGAGTAAAAATGGTAAACAAGAATGCCTACATCTGATTGGCTGTTATGTTGATTTTGAAGTATTCCCATCTAATTTTGGCATGTTTGCTAGATTTTCGTTCCCGAACTTTTCAACTTATTTGTACTCTGAGAGCGATTTTGAAATGTTTCCCTTTTACTAGATTTTCTATTAAAAAAGTACTGGAACAGGCCATTCTGACGGGACACCTCAGTCTGAAGGCACATCTACCCAAAATTGGATGCGAAAGTAGCAGCATATGCAGAGCGTGTGGGGAAGGCAGTGAAACGCTGAAACAATTACTGTGCCATTGCCCAGCATTTACAGGCCTTCGGAACCAATTCTTGGGAATTGACACTTTTCACGAACTAATCGATCTGAGGGGTGTGAATGGAGAAGACTGAAGGAGTTCTAAAAAAACGCGGAATTTCTAGATTCATGGGGGGATCAAACCCAAAATGTTTTCAATCTAAACATTCACTAATTCTAACTTTCTCCGCATTTCTAGAGCGCACAACAGACCTCAATTGGCTTATGTGTATGTCCTTCCCATGTTGAACATGTGGTGGTATTATCCACCTTTCTTTTCAATCAATCTATCAAATCATACCGATTGAATACTAAACTTTCACTAATTCTAACTTTCTCCACATTTCTAGAGCGCACAACAGGCCTCAATTGGCTTATGTGTATGTCCTTCCCATGTTGGACATGTTTTTTTTTCAACCTAACCTATCAAATCTTACCGATTGAATATTAACGATTTTACAGATTGAAATTGTGAAATTTCCAAGATCCATTGTATGGGAGGAATACAAAGTTCTGCTCGCATCTATCAAATTTGTTGTTACTAGCTTTATATGCCCAATCAAAAGTAAACGTCCAATTTTCCTCGATTTCGGCAGAATATTTACCCATATTACGGTTGGCGTTGTCGAAAACGCGTTGTCGTAGGAAATAATTTTTGGTATTATGTAAAAAATTTGACTACCTGTTTTTGTAGTAGATTAGAATTGCACATATTCTTAACTGTCACACTGTACCCTGTTAAAAACAAACAAAAAAATAGCAACGTTAGTTATAGCAAAAACAAATATTTATGAAATATACACTTGGAATCGTGTTAAGTATGGACTATTTTTATCCGACGATGAATGCGACTATACTCCCAATGTATTAAACACGAGACGAAAACAATTGCGGCAAGAGTCAAACATATTTTTATTGGCTGATCCCCAGTAAGTAACGACTATAATCAAAATAGGGAAAATTCATTATCTTGCTTTTAGATTTGTTAGTTACTTCCGGCTTCGTAAGGTAGTTTTCAAAATTTGTTTTGGAGCAAATCTCTCCAGACCTCCATGACCGAAAAAAGTCATCAAGTGTGCCAAATATTCTGAAACTCGCAGCAACAATCCGGATACTTGCTGAATGCAGTTACCAAAAGGGTGCCGGTAACGATTTCAATATCAGCCTCTCCCAGTCGTCTGTAAGCAATTCTTTCCGCGAATGCATAGAAGTGATGCATAAGAATCTCTGTTCAAAATGTATTTCAATTTCTTTTTTTCCTAAATTCCAACATTTTCTTTCTAAACGTAACATTATTTTTAACATTTTCTTTTAAAACTTTCAAATTTTCTTCTCTAAGCTTATGGCTTAGTATTTTTTGTTTTAAAAGTTCCTCATTGATCTTGTAGTTTTTGCGTTGATACCTTTCTATTTCACTTAAAGACCGCTTTACATCTCTATATAAGTCGGACTTTCAATTGCTCTTTAAGAAGCTCATATTTGTTGTCCGCTTTCCTTGGTCTTTATGATGTAGTCATTGGGAGATGTTGCTGAAAGTCGTTTCGGTGTGAGGTATTTGTGTTTATAGAATTGAGTGTACATGGATTCTGGTTCAGTCAAACTTGTTGCTGAATCTGATTTTGGCGAGAGGGATTTATGTCTGGAGAATTTGGTGCGCGTGGATCTACATTTTCCAAGTCTGTCGTATTTGGACAAACATCAAAAAGTTCTTCATCTGTACTGGTCTTTTGAAGTGTAGGACGCTGTGGAATTCCAATTGACTCGTTACCTGCATTAACAATTGTGTCCAACTGTAACAAGCTTGATGCAACTTCTTCCGTGTCGCTAAGAATACATTGCTTATATGACATTATGCCTTATTATAAACTAACTTCTTCCATAACGTGATTTTCTAGTCAGACCAAACTTTCATCCAAACTTCTACCGTACGTACTGGCGGTCCTAAAATGTTACGTTTCGCACTTATTTTAGTCCACTCTTCCTTCACGTTCATTTTCTTTAGCCCACTGCTGTGACCTCTGGACAAATCTGGATTCTTCTGAAAAATCTCGATCATTGAGTCAAATTACTTTTTTGTTGTGATTTTAACTCTAAAATTTTTTAATTGACAGAAGTTCCGTTCCAGAACATAAAAGTATCTACTAATTTTACAAGTTTTGCAACTTTTTACTTGAAAACCGTTCCTGAACCCACATATCTGGTAAAACATTGAATCAAATTTAAGAGAGCCCAAAACAAAATGACGTTCTCTTTGTAAACTTTTTACTCGAGAAATTTGGCCGAGTAAAAATGGCTACCTCTGATTGGCTGTTATGTTGGTTTTGAAGTATTGCCATCTAATTTGGGCATATTTACTAGATTTGCGTTCCCGAACTTTTTAAATTATTTTGTACTCTGAGAGCGATTTTGAAATGCTTCCCTTTTACCAGCTTTACTATTAAAAAAGTACTAGAACAGACAAATCAATATATAGTATATATTTTTTAATATAGATACATACCTTTTGTTCAAATCCATTTTTTTAATTATATTTTATTACTTTTTAATTGTTTTGGCTATAGTTTTTTTTTTGTTGTCGTGTACAAAATATGTAACGAGAAATTGTGCAGTCTTTCTCTTATCAAAACGCCTCCCGTGGTACCAAAATTGTAACAGAATTTCAAACAGAGTTGCAATTTGTCGTATACGGCGTACATAACTCGTTACAACACGCCAATTTACAGATTTCATTGAATTTGAATAAATATTAACGATTTTATAGACCAAAAGAGTGAAGTTTTCGAAGCCCATTGTATGGGAGGTATACCAAATCTTGTCCATATCTATCCAATATTCCGTCACTTACTTTTTAGGTCAAGAATAAGCACTTGTACAAAATTGCATTCACCTACAATAACTCCTTTTATATTTGGCCACCGTTAATATGAACTCGCTACACTTAGTGAGTCACATATCGAGTCTCGACTGTTTATGTATCTGGCGTTTTTTGTTCTCGGCGATCAGTTGTTAGCACTGTGTATGGTTTTATATACATCAACAGCACATTGTTATTGTGTACTTTCCCATTTTATAAAAATCCGCTTTAAAACATTCAAACAAACCGACATACCTATATCAATTATTATCGATGCGGAGAAAGAGAGATAGTGAGTGGACTTGTTTTTTCATATATTTATATATATATGGGTATGTGTGCGTGTGGCTTGTGTGCACACGAAATAAGTAGAAAATAAATGTTTGCATTTTGCAAAGTTTATCAGTATTCACGTTAATTTCATACGAGACAGTCGGTGTAGCGCGAATGCAGTGGTGAATTAATACAATAATTGTCGTGTAGTGCATATATTATTTAATTACATATTGAAAAAAAATAGGAACTTTCGCTTGGTTTTTCCATCTATTCCGGATTTCAATTAAATATTTTTTTTAATTTATAAACTATATTTTTGGCTGGCAAAGCAGAATAAAATAAAAAGACAATAAAACATCATGTCAAGTGACGAATCGACATCAACTCAATTCTCAACCACATCTAATCAAGCTGGTCAGGTTAGCCGCAAACCAAAGGCTCCCCCACCCGAACAATGGGGTAAGTTGGATTTGTTAATTATGTATTTATATATATATATATATATTAATTATTATTTTTTTGTTCATAGAAATAAATTTAATCGGCAACTTTTTGTTAATGCTTTATCATCGTTTGGAAATAACACCGCAAAATGATTGGCTATACAAGAAATCCGATATGAAACAGGAATTTCGACAATTTGTCACACCGGACCTATTGAAACGTCTGCACGCAGCGAGCGGTACCGATAATGTATGTATTTATTGATTGTATATGTATAATATCGAAATTTTTGTTTACATACATTGTATGTAGGAATTGATTTCTTTGTTCTCTATATAATTGTTAGCTTCTTTAAGTTTGTGCTATGCAACGCATATACATATGTATGTATTTTTACGTTTGTTTATTGCAATTTTACCGATCAAAGCAGAGTTGCTCAGTAGTGAATTTCAAAGGGAGTCCATGATCCAATAAACAGGTCGTGTCAGAAACAATCGTTATCGACAATTTTGGATTAAAATCCCCCATTCTGTCAAATTGTTTGTTTACGTTTTCACACAATTAAGTCAACAGCTCGGGTGAAATCATCTAGGAAAATGTAAATCAATTCTTTTTGTATTGAAAACTCAAAAAGTTGAAGTTAATTTTTGATCTTTGTCCTGATTAAGATCTATTAAAAAGGTCACCCAGGTTGCAATCGAAATCGGAAAACAGCTGTTTTTTTTTTTTTCAAGTCTAATGTCAAACATTTCGACTTTGTTTACGTTTTCATAATGGAAGTCATTTTGACAGCAAACTTGAGTGGCGCAGATATCCAGCTGGTCTCCCTGGATGACCTTGTTTATAGGCCATGGTCCTGATTTAGATTGGGCGAGTTTACTTGCAGCAATTCTTATCGTTCTCTTTTGAACGTGCTTCATGCGTCTATACAAACAATTTGGTTTTAAAAATATTTGTTTTTTTTTTGACATTTTGTGGAAATAAAAATTAAACAATTCAAAAATATGAATTTGACCATTTTTATTTAATTTTCAAATATATTTTTTAATTATTATTTGTTGCAAATAGTTTTTTACATTTAAATAAACCCGAAATGTGAACAAATAATTAACAGAAGATATTACAATACGAAATACTCAAAACGAGTTGCCAGAAAATTGCCGGTACGAACAATTTCTTTCCGATTCTATTACTCTTGCCCCTCTCTCCGACAAGCAAAGACTTTCCGCAAGTAAACTCGCCTAATGTAAATTGGGACTTTGAAAATCGAAAAGTTGCAAAGTCTGGGATTACACATGCAACTTTTGTTAAGCAACTCTGCTGCTGCTCCCTTCGATTCTCTTTTGAATTTCTTCCCCCTTGTCACTTCTGCTTACAAAAGTTGCATGTTTAAACCCAGAGTAAGTCAACTTTCGATTTTTTTCGTAAATACTTGTACAGACGAGCGTTGTTCCCTCTCTCATTCGTGGTTCGACCCTTAATTAAGAAATAATTACTTAGTTCCCCATACAAAATTTTCTGAGGGAACACCGACTTTTGTAGATGGTTCATAGATGGTAAGTGACAATCATATGGTTTCAAACTTTTTTCTTTATTGATTGTAAAGTAAATTGTCAAAAACATTTTCATTCAACATTTCAATTCCAAAAATGGTCTTTAATTTTAGGCTTTTTTAATAATAAAAATTTAAGAAAACTACATTCAAAGAGGCGGACGGAAAGAAAACCTAGGCTCAGTTGTAACCCCGTTCGCCGATTGGTCCACATATTTTATGTTATGTGTGGAAATCTGTCCAGAAATCCCAGCTACTCATAAAATCGAGAAGATTATGTTAGTCTATATTGGAATCGGCCCCTTGGTGCTTGTCACAATTCTCGGCGGAGGTTAAATACGCATATGAAAGGATTTTATACGGTCAACACAATGTCCATGATTTAATCTTTGGCCGGGGATTTGTGTCCTTCAATTTTCTTTAAGAAGACAAGATTTGAAGCCACCCCATAGAAAAAAAATAGATTGTAATCCACAACATCACAAGGAGCCATGCGCTACATGTGGGAAACTTAAAATTAATCGCGACCAGATCTTAAACTTTATTTTTCACTGACCTAAAACCGCCAAAAACCCAAAAATACACAAATTCATTAATTATTCTTCAAATAATAGTTCTTGACAAAAATAAATTCATAATTGTTTTTGTTTATTTTTGTCAAAAAGTTATTGTCGGCATGACAATTTAATTTCTATAACAACAATGATGTTTTTGTAAAATATTTGTTGTTGTATCTGATGCATACACCTTATTAAATACACCTTGGTGGTGGCGCTGTTAATACTCGACCATCGGGAGGCGGGCCAAAAACTTAAAACAGAAAAAAAATACACCTTGGTTCAATTCGAATAACTCTCTGAATAACCAAGAAATTTTGTCCCATCCCTAACAATTGAGAGCATTTATCGAAAATAAATTAATTTTGACTTTTTCAGTAAAATTGAAAGTGATAAATGAAAAGTAAACACATTGTCTAGTTTTTATATATGCATAAGTATGTACATTTTGTTATCTACATAATGCAATATGTATGCATTTCTTTCCCTTTGGTTCTAGTTAGCGTACAAATCAGGAAACGAATGTTGGGAAACCCAAACAAAAATTCTCCGATTTTTTATATTTGTATTTAAAACATTTTCAGAAAAAATGAAATCATAATTTAATGTTACTTAAATCATGTTTTCATAATTAAGTGAATAGATATGGGGGTTCATGCTATGGTCAGAGAATTATTTTTTCTATTAAGATCCATTTGCGATTCACGCAAGTATGTACAATTTTGGTCATGGTACTATTATACAAGGTAACTGCAAACTACAACAAATACAATTCAACAACAACCACCAGGGATGCAAAAATTGGCACAATTTGTACTAATTTCAGCACTATTTGGAAGTCAAAAATACAATAGCACCCCAATGACATAATTAGCACTATTTCTAAATTGTATCAAATTATTCTCACTTAGAAGTATTATAAGTGCTTATACATACAATATAAAATGAATAGCCATCATCCGCTGTCTTTACCAATGGATGAATTTGCTATAGTTTAAATTTACTGTTCTATGCCGCTTCAAAATTCAGTATTCCTGATCAAATTGATAAATTCAGTAAAGATATTAACAAAGTCGTTGTGTGCATTTGTCGCGATGTGACAACACACAACAGTGGGAAAGGTATGGAATTGTTTGTAAATGCCTTGTTAACCTCGAAGTGAGGCTCCAGCGAAATTCTCATACAGTTGGTTTGTTGCTGTATACGAGCAACACCAACAAAGTCGAGGATCAGTGTCGTGATCCGAAACTATAGTCTTCCCTGCCTTACCCCACGGCAAACAACGCCATACATTCCCCACTAATAAATAGTTGTCTTTTATAAAAACAACAAATTGGGATTCAGCCTGACTATTTTGCAAAAACAATTTATTATTTCTGTAACCGTTCTGTGAGATAGAGGATTTTTCAAAGTTTCAGGATTATTTCGGTACAATTATTCATGTTGTTTTTAAATACTCAACAACTCGATGGCTTTCACGTCAACCAGTTAATTGGTCTGTTCCCGTACTGCAAGAATCTACTAAATTTCACTATTTTCTTCGATAACATAAAGAAAAATTCGTTATCGTAGTAGATTCTTGCAGTACGGGAACAGAAAAAATATAATTTTACACTCAATGATTTCGAAGCAGATAACCGAAGAAGGTAACCGTATCAAACCAGCTGATGGTAACATTATATGTCATAACAATTTGTTGTTGTTTTTAATTTTTTTTTAATCTCATTTCCAAACAAAAATTTAAAAATTGAAATATATTTGAAAATAAAGAAAAAAAGGATAAAAGGCATAACGGTAGATTATGGAGATGATATTTAAGAAGACCATGGAATCAAAAACAAGAGGCTGACTTCCAAAATGTATCAATGCAATGTTTGTATACAATAATACTACGGTATTTGAACTTCGTATACATGCAAAGTTACTAAACATCGCAACTAGGAACTTTGCAAACATTTACTATATAAAATGAATGTGGTGCAATGTATCACAAATAAATGTATGTATATTGAAATAAACAAATATTCATTTATTTGTTACGCATATTAATATTTTTACTAAAATATTTTACTAAAATTACTTTTGTGAATCTGTCATTATCTTTTTTCTTTGGATATTTCATTTTGTGCTCATAAACAAATAATGCATCAACAATAAAACCGATGCCTGATTGCTTTTTAACTGCGTTGCAAATACGTGGCAGCGACATTTTGAAATAGAATGCAATGTATATATTTGGTACTGTTGCATTATGAAACATGATGCTTTGTTCGAATGCAAAGCAATTAACATTTTGGAAGTCAGCCAAAGTGATTTTTTGCATATTCTCAGAAGGAATCATGGGTCTATCTCAGGGATGCAAAAGTTGGTACAATTGTACTAATTTTAGCACTATTTGGAAGTCAAAAATACAATAGCACCCCAATGATATATTTAGCACTATTTCTAAATTGTATCAAATTATTCTCACTTAAAATTATTATAAGTGCTTAAACATGCAATATTAAATAAATCGCCATCCCCCGCTGTCGTTATGAATGGATGAATTTTCCATAGTTTAAGCGTAGTGTCCTATACCGCTTACAAATTCAGTATTCCCGATCAGATTGATAAATTCAGTAAAGATATTAATTATTATTTCTGTAACAGAAATAATAATTATTTTTTTGATTTTTCAATGTTTTAGGAATAATTCGGTACAGATATTCATGTTGTTTTTAAATACTCAACAACTCGATGGCTTTCACGTCAAGAAGTTGAAACAATTTTGGCGCAGTGGGAATCACTTCATTATTGTTTTACACTCAATGATTTCGAAGCTGATTTCCAAAAGTTAAGGCTCAATTCTATTATTTCTGAATTTTCAAACCCTTTTTATACCCTCCACCAAGGTGCTGAAATTTTGCATAGGTTTGTCTTTTGTCTGCAGGCAGGTCAAGTTCGAAGATGGGATATATTGGTCCCCGTTTAGGCATAGCTCCCATATAACGGTACTCCCCAATTATCGGTATTTTGGGGTTCTTGAGCGCGTTTTTCATCCGAATTCGCTGAAATTTGATACATTGGGTTCTTATTGGGTACTTAATGTCTCCACAAAAAAATTATAAACATAGGTCCACTTTTTCTGGTAGCCCCCATATAACGGCATTTCCTAATTTTCAGTATTTTGAGGGTTTTGATCGTATTTTTCCACCGAATTGGCTGTAATATAGTATTTTGAGTTCTTAATAGGTACCAAATCTATTTTTCAGTATTTTGGGGTTCATGAGAGCGTTCTTCTACCGGATGCGTTGCAATTTGTTATTTTGTAGTCGTTTATGGTAACAAATCTCCCCACCAAAAATTATTAATATTCGACCCCTTTTTGGGGTAGTCCCCATATAATCCCCTTTTTATACACTTCACCATAATATGGAGCGTATATTAATTTTGTCATTCCGTTTGTAATGTGTTAAAGTCGTGTTACATAAGATACATAAGAATATGTTGCAAAAATGTGTACTTAATTGATTACTTTATTTCGATCTAAAACCGAATAAAAACAATGTTTATATATAAGACGTATAAGTTCGTAGATCAAATGAATTAGTATGTACATTTTTGTTAATTTTTAAGTGTTCATCTTATCTATGTGTATATAAAAATGAATTCTTTATGTATGCTTTTATTCATTGTTAATAACAATAAACATTTTATTAATAAATATATAAAAAGTACAATCGGACTGAAAAAAGTACATTTTTTATTGAAAGCCAGCACAATTTGAATAATTTCATTTCGCATCCCTGGTCTATCTCATTTCCTTTTACCTGGTATAAACATAAGAATAATACCCAGTACCACAGAGTGGTGAAGGATGTAAAAATAGGAAAGATGGGATTAATATTTGGTATTTGGTAAAAATTGCACTTTTCGATGCAAATTGCCAGCTTACTTCTAATTCGACCTAAAACGCAAATAAAAAAAAACTACATATAGACCTAAGATTTGGCATACCTTCCACTCTTTGGGGTTTGAAAATGTCCCTTTTTTGTCTTTTTTGGCTTGTACTTCTAAATATGCATATAAAGCAAGTTATTGAAAAGTGGGTAGATTGGACCAAGATTTGGTATACTCTCCATATAATGAACCTTGAAATTTTCACCCTTTTGGTCGTTATACAGTCAAAACTGCTTAAGAGGCCAAATGTGGTGAGTTTGTTTCAATTATCCGATTTTTTAATAATACGAAGGCGGGATAACTGACATGTGTTTAAACATAAATTCCAGCTCTTACATTTTATTTTGGTCCATGTATGATTAGAAAATTTTCTGATTTATCAGTCAATGTTCCGAATTTAGTCACCCTGTAAAATGAATATTGTTTAAACGCAACAAATCTATTTTTTAATTGAGCGAAGTTGTTTTCAAGGCTTCTATAGACAAATGAATATATTTTTGAGGTATTCTATATGTAGGAGACATTTTTGAGATGTAGAACTCTCCTGTATTGAATTTAAAACATCTTTGAGATCTTCTATACATACACATACTATAAGATTGATAACAAATAAAAAACATATCTATAATCTGTGAACTTAATCTAAAGATGTTCCATAATTTTATTCAATTCATAAAAAATATTTTCACAAATCCATTTTCAATTTTTACAGATTGGTACATTACTTCAACGATGTAAATTTCTCATCAACACAGAGAGAAAAAGTCCATTTTATAAAATCAAAAAGGATACCTTATTTAATTTTCGCAACAGAAAAGTGTTCGAACAAGATAAACGACGTATTAACGACGATGAAGATTTACAGGCAAATACTGGACCCGATGATATACTAAATAATTTACTTGCAAATCAAAACTTGTCATCTATGCAAGGTAAGAACAAATTTGGAATTTCTTTCAGGCAATTAAAATTGATTATATTCCTATTATTATATTCAGTAACCAATGAAGTTGATGAGACTTCGTCCGTACATGAACTACAATATGAGGGTACGCTACTCCAAGAACGTCGTAAAAATTATTTTCCCAACAATATGAGTTGTATTATCTGTCAGGAAGATTTTTCCACAATGACCGACTATGAGAGGCACATACAGATACATAATGATGAAAGCGATTTTGAATATGTGAAAGAGATGTCACGTTTGTGAGTTTGTCATGTATTTGGTTCTTTTATTATTTTGTTATAAAATTGTTTTTTGGTATTTGTTTTTTTTAGCGATTCACCAATATTTAAAGTCAACTATCAATTGTGCAAAAATTCCCATTATTTTTGTTTTAATCTTCAAACAACTTCCGAAGATTTAATAATTGAACGTATAATAATCGTCCAGTCACGTTCAATGTTTTATGTACACAATATGCGTGTACCCTATGCTATGCCCGAAAATAAATGTGAACAATTTTATGTTGATTCACATTTATTTACAATGTTTGTTGAACAGCCGATTGTTGTAATAGCCCATTTGGAAAATGATAAAAATAATCGTATTATCGAGGAGCATCACTTTATGGTAACGTTTTTATTATTAGAATGGAAAAATTTTGATTTGAAAATATTACAATTTGTATTTGGTTTTCTTCAGCTTGTTTCGGAATTGCCCAGAGTTAATTTTGCAATTAAACCATTTCAATTGCCATCAAATAAGTAAGTAATAATGACAATTTAAATATTTAAAGACCTTTGGTCTCAATAGAGGCCAATTGGTCTTCATAAAGACCTTTGGTCTCTATACAGACCAATTGGTCTTTATAAAGACCTTTGGTCCCTATACAGACCAATTGGTCTTTATAAAGTCTTTTGGTCCCTATACAGACCAATTGGTCTTTATAAAGTCCTTTGGTCTCTATACAGACCAATTGGTCGTACTAAAGACCTTTGGCTTCTATACAGACCAATTGGTCTTTATAAAGACCTTTGGTATCACTATACAGACCAATTGGTCTTTATAAAGACCTTTGGTCTCTATACAGACCAATTGGTCTTTATAAAGACCTTTGGTCTCTATATAGACCAATTGGTCTTTATAAAGACCTTTGGTCTCTATATAGACCAATTGGTCTTTATAAAGACCTTTGGTCTCACTATACAGACCAATTGGTCTTTATAAAGACCTTTGGTATCACTATACAGACCAGTTGGTCTTTATAAAGACCTTTGGTCTCACTATACAGACCAATTGGTCTTTATAAAGACCTTTGGTCTCTATACAGACCAATTGGTCTTTATAAAGACCTTTGGTCTCTATACAGACCAATTGGTCTTTATAAAGACCTTTGGTCTCTATACAGACCAATTGGTCTTTATAAAGACCTTTGGTCTCTATATAGACCAATTGGTCTTTATAAAGACCTTTGGTCTCTATATAGACCAATTGGTCTTTATAAAGACCTTTGGTCTCTATATAGACCAATTGGTCTTTATAAAGACCTTTGGTCTCACTATACAGACCAATTGGTCTTTATAAAGACCTTTGGTCTCACTATACAGACCAATTGGTCTTTATAAAGACCTTTGGTATCACTATACAGACCAGTTGGTCTTTATAAAGACCTTTGGTATCACTATACAGACCAATTGGTCTTTATAAAGACCTTTGGTCCCTATACAGACCAATTGGTCTTTATAAAGACCTTTGGTCTCTATACAGACCAATTGGTCTTTATAAAGACCTTTGGTCTCTATACAGACCAATTGGTCTTTATAAAGACCTTTGGTCTCTATACAGACCAATTGGTCTTTATAAAGACCTTTGGTCTCTATATAGACCAATTGGTCTTTATAAAGACCTTTGTTATCTATACAGACCAATTGGTCTTTATAAAGACCTTTGGTCTCTATACAGACCAATTGGTCTTTACAAAGACGTTGGGTTTCCTATATAGACCATTTAAATTTTATAAAGATGGGGGTTCTATACAGATGAATCTTTTAAGATGTTTTCCACTATGTGCATATTTTTATTATTTACTTGATTTGTTTTCTCTCTCTCTCTCTAGAACATTTCGACCTTTATTTCAAGTACCCGATTACTTTCCAACATTGGAAATTCGCGATGCCATAAAAGATGATTTTATTTATGAGAAACTAATGCAAACATCCAGTGAATTTCGTGAATATGTAAGAAATGAAAAAATCTTACAGCCTCAAACAATTGGCACAACATTAACGACCCTATTGCAAATTGAGGATATGGATACGTTAAAGGAATATTTAAGTTTGATGCAACAGAATGTTACACTACGTGGTTTTGATTATAATTACAACATGAAGGTATGTTTTATATGCGATATAATTATGCGATTTATTTGGAATCGAATCAATTAAATATATATGTATTTTTTGTATTACCTTTCTTTTAGTTACGCACCAACAGACGTATACACATTGAAAATCTATTATCGGTTTTTGACGATGTCATCATTACTGCCCGGAATGTTCAACCCGATTCAGATATTTTATTAAAATTGATATTACAAAATAAGGAAGACATAAACCCGTGTGACACATATCTCGGTACTATTGAAGATGTCAGCTCGGGACGTGTCAATTTTCGTTGCTATAAAAGATTAGATTTAAAACGTAAATACACGGTGATATTTCGTCCGTCGCGTACCTTGTTACGTTATCAGTATCGTGCAATGGAATTACTAAATGTAATTATACCACATCTGACAAGATTTCTATTTCCTACAAAACTTTTGATAAGAGAACCATCAACTATAAGGTAAGATGATCAAAAATCGTTTTAGCTATTAAACGTCTGCAGAAGGTCATCCGTCTATATAGAAAATTGTCTATATATATTTTTAAATTTAAATCAAACTTGTTTGAGTTAAATCTGTAAATACTTTATAAAAAACATCTAATAAATTAAGACCCATCGGTCTTAATTCTGTAGAAGATTTCTCAACGATTTCATAGAAACACCTGCAATTTGTCTATGGAAGACCTATAAATATTACAATTTTTTTTTAAAAATTCACAACTAATTTTATTTTTTGTTTTTCATTTTCTTCTCCATTTACAGTTTGAAACTTTTCAATAAATCAATTGCCAATAATCCCGAACAACTACAAGCCGTTCGTAATATTGCCGAAGGACCACGAAATGATGCAACATATATTATTTTTGGACCACCCGGTACTGGCAAAACCACCACCTTGGTTGAAGCCATTCTACAGGTCTTAAAACGAAAAGATACGAAAATTTTGGTAACAGCCTCATCGAATAGCGCCTGTGATGAGGTAGCCTTACGTTTATGTCGTACCTTACCCCAATTGGAGGATATGCCACGTACCATTGTTCGTATATACGCCCAAACTTCAGAGGCACGATTGGAAAATTTCGATGATTTATTGCTCGAACATTCGAATATGTATAATAATGTACATTTTTATCCAGATATTGATGTGTTGCATGAATATCGTATTGTCGTGTGTACCATGTCCGTTGTGGCCAAATTGGCAACGGGGAAATTTGGCCGTAAGGAAAATGGTGCCGGTACACAATATACACATTTGTTTATTGATGAGGTTGCTGCTGCAACCGAAGTTGAGGCTCTAATACCCATCACATCGGTTGTAACGCCCAAGTCGTGCTTAATTATTGCTGGCGATCACAAACAATTGGGACCCATTGTCAAGTCAAAACTTGCCGAGCAATTTAATTTGGGCGTATCCCTAATGGATCGACTTTTGAAACGGGAATGTTATAGTGTTAACACCGATACCGGTGATTATGATCGTTCAATACAGTCACGTTTGCGCATGAATTTTCGTTCACACCCAGCCATTGTCAATCTTTATAGTGGAATGTATTATAATCATGCACTGGAGCCAATGGCAGATATGGGTAATAGATTTTTAACAATTAACACCTTAAAGAGAGAGAGAATTAACCCCTAAATATTTTTTTATATCTTATATTTTGATTCTCTCTGCTTACAGACGACGTTTCTTTGGTGAAAAATTGGCATCTGGCTCCCAACAAAGATTTCCCCATTATTTTCCATTATGTCGATGGTCGATCATTTTCCGATAACCAATCTTATAGTTTACACAATTCCGAGGAAATCGATGTTGTCATGCACTATGTCAAGGATTTAATGTATTTCGGTATAAACGATAAACCCGTTAGACAAAGTGACATTGGTATTATATCACCGTATAAGAAACAATATCAACGTATACGCGAAGAATTGAATTTACGCCGATGGTATGAAATTGAAACGGGTTCTGTGGAAAATTTCCAAGGCAAAGAGAAATCGATAATTATTGTATCGTTTGTTCGTTCCAATACACCGACATTGGGTTTTTTGGATAGTCCAAGGGTAAGTTGATGAAGAAATGTATATTAAAAAAATTATAATAGATATTTTATGCAAAAAAACGGGTATTTACAATTGAGGGATCTTTTTACGAAATATAGATAGGAGAAATAAGTAATCAAATTATTACAGGATGTTGTTAAGGAGTAGGAAAAATATCCAGTACAGCAAACAAACCCTGTTGATCTAAGTAGAGGAGAATATTAACAAAAGGTCAATAATCACATGATTGCCCAAGGGGATTTTATTTCCCAAAAATAGCCAATCTATATATTTTTATAGCGACCTCTCTAATGCTTTTTAGTTGACCGACCATCCTTGCTTGGAAATCTTATAATAAAGCTAGTAAGGGCCGAAACTTAGTACAGATTTATAGAGAACAATTAAATAGGTACAAAAGTGAAATCAAGAAGCCTAATGTGAGTCTTGGGTGTGCTATAGCGAGTCAATCGAAGGTGGGAACGAAGCAGCCAGATTTCGCAGAGTAATATCTAAAGATCGAAAAACTATAGGTAGTAAAAGCAAAGCGACGGAACGTGGACTAACTCTGGCAGAGAGACTCTTGATTTTCTATCATCAACTATCAAGTGGATCACTAACCTGGTTGCATGGACCATAACGCCGAAGTGCGATATGCACATCGGCATACGGCTCGAACCGAGGAAGAGGAGAAGTTGATAGAGAACACTATAAGCTAGCCAAAGCTGGTATGAGCAATAAATAGCTTTCAACCCTACAAATCCCCGGATCAAGATGCCATAATACCGGTCATGCTGTAGCACGCAGCAGGGGATCTTTAGGGCCGTTCTGCTCTACGTATATACCTACTTTCGACTAAAGACTTTAGAATGTTTACTAGACTCTGAAATTAGTAAATCCCAGCATTCCTATATGAAAGGCAAATCAGTGGACACTGCCTTACATGATATGGTTGGTCATATCGAGTAGAATATGGAGACCTCCGGTTACTCATTGGCTGCGTTCCTTGACATTGAAGGAGCCTTCAACATTGTGAAGCTGGAAGCTTTTCATTCTGCTCTCGATAGTTCAGGTATTCCCTCCCTCCTAACCGATTAGCAGAATTATACTAACTAGTAAGCAGAATTATCAATTCATCCATTGAGGAGAGTTCCGTGAGGAAAATGTCAACAGAGGCACACCAAAGGGGGTATTACTATCTCCTCGATCTCCTCGATAAACTGCTGGGCAAAATGAGTACTGTATAGCGACGTGACTATAATCCCTCTCATAACGACTTCGACGACATTAGAGTAGAGCTTCCTAGTAAGGAATCCTGGGGTAAGTGGCCGGTCTGTCGTTATTTACGGACGGGTCGAAGATGGAGGAAGGTACTGGTGCAGGTGTTTACTGCAAGGAACTAGCCATCTAAAACTCAAAAACTTAATAATCTCTGTAGCATTTGTCGGGCAGAAATCCTAGCAATGGCCAAAACTCGCTGAGATAGTCGATAAAATAGGACCGGTGACTATATATGTCGATAGACAGGCGGTCCTTAAGGCACTTAAGTCGTGTACCATTAACTGAAAAGCGGTTCGTGACTGCAAGGATGCTCTACTTGATATACGACAGATTGTTAATTATGTTGGGTTCCAGAACACAGTAACATAAAAGGGAAAGAGATAGCCGATGAACTTGCTCGAGGGGCCTCACATTCGTCCAACCTACCGATTGAGGTATCTGTACAATCTCCTATTGGTTACTTTATCGGCAAAATCCGTATGAGCTGATGTGAGGTAATCTGCAACAGATGGCCTGAATTTTCTCGCCGCAGAACTTCTTTGCTGCTGTGTCATAGTAAGAGGGAGATAAAAAACATTGTGGCATCTGCTAGCATTTGGAACCTACCTTGACCCAACTTTTTTTTTATTTTATAATTATAATTTGTTCTGATTTTTTTTTTTGTTAATTCCTTATAGCGTTTAAATGTTACTTTGTCACGTGCCAAATCCTTGCTTATACTAATTGGTAATGCTCGAACATTATCACTAAATAGTGATTTTGCATACATCATTAAGGAATGTCAACGTCATCAAACATTTATTGCTGAACGGGATGAACGTGTACCGATTTCAGCAGCATATCATACGAATGAAAAAATATATCAAAATATATCATCATCGACACGTACGGTCAACAACAATAACAATAGAGAAGTGACAAATAAAAAAACTGATGATATACCATCGACGTCATCATCGGCTTCTGCCGTCAATAATAATAAAAATAAAGATGTTATAAATAAAAATACCGATGATGATACCACATTGGATAAGATTAATGATCAAATAAAAAATTTAAAATTGAAAAGCCAAGATGAATTAAAAAAAGCTGAAGCAAAGACCAAAAAAATGCGTGCACGACGTCGTCGTAAATATAAGAAAAAGCCAAAATCTGCTAACAGAAAAGATCATAATAATGAAGAGGATAAGGACGATGATGAAGAATCAGATAGTGATGATGATAGCCGTGTTAGTGCAGAGGATAACAAAGCCATTGACAAAAAAACTGGTTGTGATGAGGAGGAGGATGATGATGATGATGACGAGGATGATAATGATAGTAAAAATGATGATAAACCACCAACCTCAAAAGCGGCTGGTAAAACAAAATTTTCACGATCAATGAAAAAAAGTAAGTAATGGTAATTGTAAATCATCTACCAAACAGTTTCGTAATATAATTATTTTCTAAACATTTCAACTGTAATTTATTCGACACATGTATTACAATATCAAAATATTTCAATAGCATTTCGTTTGAAATTCAAACTATGCCATTTCAAAAAAAGTATATATTTTTTTTAAATTCAGTTCTAAACATTTGTTTCCTTTTTTTAGAATCGCAAAAACCCACAAAGGATGTTGGTGGCAAAGGAAGTGTTAAAAATGATTTAGATGCATTTTTCAGCGATTTACCAAGTGTACCGCAACCTAAGAATACAGCACCGTCTACTAAAACAACAAAAAACGCCGCTGCGGAAAGTCCCAAAAATACTGCTGTAACAACGACAACAACAACAACTGCCGCATCCATGTCCACATCTGGAAATGCAAATTATAATCAAGTTACAATGCCAGCTGTAGCAGCCCCTACACCACAATATTATAATCCCGGAGTGAATATGCCACCATCTTCACATTTTAATCAATTCCATGGAATGCCGCCACAAATGGCAGGATCAAATGTTCCTTTAAATTACCAATACCAACATCATCAACCACATTATTCATCACCATTTATCCAACCGAGTGGTCATCAAATGGGAATGCAACAAAATGTTGGCATGACACCATATGCACAACCAAACATGATGCAATTCCCTGGACAAAATCCACAAATGCAACCATATCCACAGCAGCAACCGCGACAGCCCTTTAACAACTTTATGTCTGGTTTAAATCCAGCTTTGTTTCAACAACAACAAACTCCAAACATGAACATTACATTTAATCCACAAACTATCCAGGGTGGTAACATTGGTGGTGGCGGTCGTGTAAATTTAAACAATAATGAAAAAGTTGAAAGTAAAACGTCGGCATACCGTGGTCGTGAACGTAAAAAGAAAAATCAAGATAATACCAACAATGAAAATGATTCAGATGACAAGGTAAAAGAGAAGGCGAGCAATCAATCGAAGATGAAAAATGAGGGAAAATCACATTTGGCACAGAACATGAAAAAAAGTAAGTGTTAAAAATTATATATCATAAAATATAATAGAGACGAGGTTTTATTAAAATTATTTTTTCGAGCTGCTATAGAGGCGTGGTTTATTAAAAATATTTTTTTCAAGAAGCTATAAAGGCGTGGTTTTATTAAAAATATTTTTTTTCAAGAACTATAAAGGCGTGGTTTTATTAAAAATATTTTTTTCAAGAAGCTATAGAGGCCTGGTTTTATTAAAAATCTTTTTTTCGAGAAGCTTTAGAGGGATGTTTTTTTCGATAAGCTATAGAGAAGTGGTTTTATTAAAAATATTTTTTCGAGAAGCTTTAGGGGGGTGTTTTTCGATAAGCTATAGAGGAGTGGTTTTATTAAACATGTTTTTCGAGAAGCTATAGGGGCCTAATTTAATCAAAAATATTTTTCTAGAAACTATAGAGGCGTGGTTTTATTAAAAATATTTTTTTTCGAGAAGCTATATAGGCGTGGTCTGTTTTATTAAAAATATTTTTTCGAGAAGCTATAGAGCCGTGGTCTGTTTTATAAAAAATATTTTTTTCGAGAAGCTATAGAGCCATGGTCTGTTTTATTAAAAATATTTTAAATAGTAATTTTTATTTATTTTCTTTATAGAAAATCCCCATCAAACGACCCAAAAGGTAACAAAAGTTTTGAAGGCACAAACTAAAGACGAAAACAGCAAAAATGTGGATATTAAAATAAATAACACCCTTAAAAATGCAACAATAAAGAAGAATCTTAATGTTGGAGGAATTGCAACACCCACAACTAAAAAGGATGCGGGACATCATGCCCATAAGAATACACCGAAAATGGCTGGCAATACAAATTCTTCCTCTACACCGGACAATAGATCAAATCAAAATATTCCCT